AGAATCTAAGCTTCTTGAGGGCAGGGGTCTGTCTTTTCTCTGCCAGATCTCCAGCACCTAGAATAGTGCTGGGTACATGGGTGGCACTCAGTAAATATTAGTTGGTTGGCTACCCAATGTCAGGGAAGTGAGGGGTATAGGGGACCCTGCCCTCAGGGAGATCATGGTTTGTAGGAGGAGATGACAAGTGACCCAACAGAACTCTTCAGTGCTCCTGGAACTCTGCAAAATACTCAAATGGGGCCAAGGAAGCCTGGCCAGTTCTATCTGGTGGACCAGATATGGCTTCATACAGAAGGACACTCCAGGACTGTGTTTTCAAAGATATGTGATGCTTCCCAGATGAACCAAAGATGCAAAAGTGTGAAAAAGCAGAGACCATTCAGGAAACAGCAGGTGGTCTGATGAGACCAAAGGAAGGGGTTGTCCGGGATGGGGGGCATGGAGTGGAAACCATCATGAAGGGCCCCTTCGCCATGAGAAAGAACTCAGGTTGCTTTCTAGAGACAGCGATGAGCCACTGAGAGGGTTCCCCCCACCTCCGTTGATATTTTAGCTCCTTCCAGTGTTGAAAAGTCTTACATGGAGGAATGACTTGGTCAGAACTGCCTTTCCAAAAGATCCCTCTGCCAAAATTGGCATTCCCTGTATCCCTTGCCCAATTATGACCGTATTCAGGCATATTTCCAAAAGTCTCTACTGCTCTCTTTCTAAAAATAGTTATAGCCTTTCTTTGGGGGCCGTAATTTCAGAGTACAATACTTCGGAAGGAACTATACATGGTTCCACTCTTTGGGACTCGTATTGTCACCTGACTGCGTATCTTCAGCTTTTTGTGTCCATAGTTTTGTAAGTCAAATTACATCACATGGCAGATCTCATCTGGTACCAGGAGGAGATGAAGGGCATCTAATGGATGTAGAACTTAAGTTTTGTTCATCTCAGCATCTTCCATGTTTGGGTAGAAACCCAATATCCTCAACAGTGAAGTGGAATAATAATAGTATCTACCTCATACGATTATTCTGAGGATTCAATTAGTTAATATCATATGTAAAGCACTTGGAGGAGTCCTTGAAACACGATGAATGCCACGTAAGGTGTTTCGTGTTATTTTTGACCAATGCGGTTTCAATTTCTAGAACTGATCCAATAAACTGAGTTTCAGTGGAAGAAAAACTTGTATATACATTGTGTGTGTGCGTATGTATATTTCTCTAGCTATGAGCTGGTCTAGGGCACGTACATACACTCCCACTATCACATACCTACTATGTGCTGGACAGAGCTCCAGGTGCCATACTTATGTTATCTCATTATCCTCACAATAAACTTACAAGACAGGCATGGTTACCCCCATTTTACAGATGAAGAAAACTGAGGCTCAGAGAGACTGACAACTAAAAGTTGCACAGCTCACATCACATCTGTTTGCACCTTCATCCCTCTGTGTACCTCAGTTCCTAGAGCCCAACACAGGGATGGAAGGGGACACTCAGTGCTGTTTTCTGGGTCTGAATCCACACATATGTTATAGGGTCAAACTTACTCTTAAATAATCCCTTCAAGGTGGGGAGGGATAAATGGGAGGTGGAGATCAACATATACACACTATTATATATGAAATAGATAACTAATAAGGAACTACTGTATAGCACAGGGAACTCTACTCAGTACTCTGTAATGACCTATATGGGAAAAGGATCTAAAAAAGAGTGGGTATATGTACATGTGTAACTGATTCACTTTGCTGTACAGCAGAAAGTAACACAACATTGTAAATCAACTGTGCTCCAATAAAAACTAAAAAAGAAAGAAAAAGAAAAATTCCTTCAATGGCCCATTCATGTATCCAACAAATATTTATTGAACACCTTGTGGTGTTGGACCAAATCTCAGACTGTGGAAGAGGTGGAAGGGACTTTCTCTCATGGAAGCTCTTGCTCTACTCACCCCTCTACCTGGGATGTCTTTCTCATTCTTCACTAGCAGGCAAACTCCCCTTCATCTTTCAAGTTCCAAATTAAATGTCCCCACCTCTGAGAAGCCTTCCCAGCCTCCCTTCCTCCAGGCAGTGGGCTGTTCCCTTAACTAGTACAATGGTTCATTTTATGTCAGCTTGCCTGGGCTACGGGATGCCCAGATAGCTAGTAAACATTATCGCTCACAGGTCTGCATTAGATTCAGTACACCAAATAAAGAGGTCCACTCTCACCAACGTGGACAGGCACCACGGTATCCACTGAGGGCCTGAATAGAACCAAAAGGCAGAGGAACGGCAAATTCCCTCTCTTTTTGAGCCCGGACATTCACCTTCTCCTGCCCTCACACACTGGAGTTCCTCACACCCTTAGACTTGGGGACTTATAGCAGCAGCCCCTGGTTCTCAGGCCTTCTGCTACCAGCTTCCCTGGTTCTTCAATTTGTAGACAGTGGACTTCTTAGACCTCTATAACTATGTAAGCCAACTCCTATAATAAATCTCCTCTTATATATCTCTACATATATCCTATTGGTTCTGTTTCTGGAGAAATTTGACTAATATATCTAGACTCCCAGGGCATCCTATACCTGCTGTTTGTGGCAGGTTGAATAATGCTCCACCCACCCAAAGACGTCCACATTCTAATTCCCAGAACCTATGAACATGATACCTTATATACCCTATGTAATATGTTACCCTATGGTGAAAAGGACTTTGCAGATAAGGTAAGGGTGTCGAGATGGGGAGATTATCCTCGATTATATGGATGGGCCCAATGTAATCACAAAGGTCCTTATGAAAAAGAGGCAGTTGGTCAGTCAAGGGAAGGCAAAAGTAAATACTAGAGTGACCCAGCCATGAGCCAAAGAATGCCAGCAGCTGCTAGAAGCTGGAAGAGGCAAGGAATGGATTCTCTCCCTAGAGCCCAATGACACCAATTTGGGACTTCTGACCTCCAGAACTGTAAGATAATACACCTGTGTTGTTTCAAGCCACTGAATTTGTGGTACCATTACAGCAGCCGTAAGAAATGAATACATTTTTATTCCAGCACTAATCACACTGCATAGCAGTTACCTTTCTCACCTGAGAGGTCCTCAAGCCTGAGGCACCTTTGTTTCTGACAGTTTAACACAAAGCCTCAAAAAGGGCTCACGAAAGCTGCCGAATGAACTAACAAATGGATTGATGCTTACCTGCTTCATCTGGCTGCCTGTGTCCCTCAGCCTGAGAACACACACACACACACACACACACACACACACACACTCATATCCACATAGCTTACCTGTCCATCCACCCACACCACCCCCAGGAGGGCAGCTCTATCCTTACACAGGAGCCCACTTTGGGCTGGCCAGCAAATAGCTATCTCTCAAGAGCATGTCGATTTTCAGGGGGGAGGGGGATTTCTCCCAAGGTAATAACTGGACAAATCAGCAGACATGCAGGAGTGAGAAGCAGAAATTTTGACGCGGTTGACCTGAAACCACAAGAATTGGTGTTGCACCACAGACATGTAAAAATCCTCCTTTCCAATAAATAAATAAATAATGAGCGCAGGAGACACCCCTGAGCCTTACCACATTCCCGTTTCTCTCCACCTCCATCGCAACCCCACCACAGCCACTATAATGATGGGGAAATCTGTACTTAGTGACACCAAAAGAGGTCCACTTTATCTCATTGAGACAAATGGATTCCAGCTAGTGTGACATGATCCCATTTTGCTAAAAAGAAAGAATTTAAATATATCTATATCATCTATATACAGTGTATATATGTGCATATATATGTGTGTTTATATAGGCATAGGACAGAGGCTGGAAAAAGATCCGTGAAGAGGTTAATGGTTTGATGGAGATTATAGTCGGTTGCTTTTTTTCTTACTTTTAAAAAAATTTACAAAGTACAGGACTGTTGGTGTGATTTTTAAAAAAATAAAGTTTAAATAATACAAAATAAAAGAAATGGAGCGTTTTGTGTGGCAGGGCTACTTTGCGTCCCTGCCAAGACAGCCTAGGTCTCCCAGCCCCTCCCCAAATAGGAAGCTGGGCTCTGGTCTCCCCGTGAGCAATGGCGGAACCATTAGAGGAACTGTAGGGGGCAGGAGGGTGACGCGGCACGGGGCCTGGGAATTAGAAAATATACAGACGTGACCGCGAGGGCGGCTTCTGCCGAATGACCCAAGGATGACCCGCTTCGGGCCCAATCTGGTATGTGGGGAGTTCGTTGTCACCCTGCGGCCTCTCTTTTCCGAACCGCCCCACGGCCACATCTTCCTCGCTGCGTCTTCACCCGACCTCCCGGACGAGGGCAGGTGCCGCCCAAGACCCCGGCAGAAAAACAGATGCAAAGGATCACCCCGGCCTTCCTCGGCCCCATTCACTGCCTCCCCCACCCTTTCCTGCGGTGGCGTTTTTGTTTTAATTCATCTGAACTGGTTACAAAACCACACTCCCACGAATACATAAATAATGGATAAGGGGTGGGGTGGGGGGCAATGTTTTAAAGAAATTCCCGCAGGGCCTGGCCAGGCAACAGCAAATGCATTTCTGCTGTATCATATTTAACTGTTTGCAAACTTCTGCTAGGAGGATGAGCAGCGGCTGCAGAGACTCCACTGCCCTTCCCCGCCCGGGGCCGGGAGACACTTTCAAGGGAGGATTCAGAGGGAGAAGTTGTCAGCTCGCGAGGGCCGAGAAGATGCAGAGGGGAATGAGAAAGTGTTTGTAAGATTGCACCACCCCCAGCCCGGCTTCGCGCAGGCCAAGCATCTCCCTCCCGGCCTCCGGCCCCGGTTCCCCCAACCAGGCTAGGCCCCTTTAAGAACCAGCGCGCGCCCCCGCCCCGCGTGCGCTCACTTTCCCTAGCAACCGCCCCGGGGGAGGAGAAGGTCCTGGCAACGGCGCGCCAGCCCAGAGAGTCACGTGATGGCCCGCAGCTGGAACGCGAGCGCGCGCCCCGCCGCGCGCCCGCCCGCCGAGCCTGGGCGCTGTGGCGCGTGCGCGAGCGGTGCAGCACCGGCCGCGGGAGCAGGGAGTATTATGGGCTGTGGGTGCCGCTGAGCAAGATGGAGCTGTCTGCAGTGGGCGAGCGGGTCTTCGCGGCCGAATCCATCATCAAACGGCGGATCCGAAAGGTTAGCCGCCTCCCAGGGCGGGACGCCTAGCCCCGCAGCCGGCCCCCAGATCCGCGGGCCATCGGGGCGAAGCGGTCCCGCTAACCCGGGCTTTCTCGCCCACCCCCGCGCAGCCGCCTCCTCGCGTCCCCGCATCTTCCCCACCCCCACTCCCCCCTCTTTTCCTTCTCTGTTTTTCAGGGACGCATCGAGTACCTGGTGAAATGGAAGGGGTGGGCCATCAAGTGAGTGTCACGGGATCCAGGGGTGAGGGGGGAAGGGAGGCAGCGCACACCGGGGCCTTTTTTTTTTTCCCTTGGAGGGTGCGCACATTTGCTCCCTCGCATGTGCCTCTGGCTCCCTGGTTTTCTTTTTTATTTTGTGCTTGCGTAACTCGGCAGGTACAGCACTTGGGAGCCGGAGGAGAACATCCTGGACTCGCGGCTCATTGCAGCCTTCGAGCAGAAGTGAGTTTGGGAAGCTGGCAGAGGCGGCGGGGCTGAGGCTCGGCTGGGGCGCCGCGCGGGGAAGCGGGAGAGCCGGGGAGGGCAGCGCGGAGTGGGGCCCAGGAAGGGGCTCTTTTTAACCTCTGGCGTTTCTCGGCCGCAGGGAGAGGGAGCGTGAGCTGTATGGGCCCAAGAAGAGGGGACCCAAACCCAAAACTTTCCTCCTGAAGGTAACCTGGCCCAGCCCCAGCAGGCCCCTCTCGGGCCCCCAGCCCGGGCGCAACACGGGGCCTGCAGGGGAGGGACAGATCCGCGGCCGCCCAGGCGGGCGGGTCTTTCCAGAGGGGCCCCAGCTGGGCAAGGGGGTGGTTGTGAGCCCCCGAAGAGCCCCTGGCAGCAGGCCCTGGCCAGCTCCAGCTTCAGCAAGAGGGGCCTGGGAATGGGGACAAGGGGGAAGGATAATCCTCGCTGACAAAACCAGGGTCTGGGGAGGCCAAAAGGAAGCGGGTGGGTGAGGCAGGTGGGGTGCCCACCTGAGGGGGTGGCAGGGAGGGGTGGCTTCTGCACGTGAGAGCCCTCATCTCCCCCAGCCTTGAGCTGCCTGGAATTAGAGCCCAGGGGGAGAGTGAATTTGGTCTCCCTCGTCGTGGGGAACAGGGAGAGGCTTTGGGGGGGCACCTGCCTCCCTGCCCACAGCTTCCCTCTCTCAGGATTTGTTGTGTATGCCTCGCCTCCTGACAGAGGGATCTAACTTGAATTTGACCTTAAATCACTTCTCTTTGAGTTTTATCACCCAGGCTGGGCCACTGGTTCTCAGTTTTGCCCACTTCTGGCTGTCTCTGGAGGCTCTAATGAGGATGGAGAGTGGGAGAGTAAAAGCAGAGCACGTTAGCCTCGGCAAGGGAGGGCGACCTAGCTGCAGAGGAAGCCATCTTAGAGGTTTTTTGGTGTTTATTTTATTTTTTTTAGTGAGAAAGAACAGAGTCTGGGAAGGGAAGGTGAGATGACCCAAGGTGGCAGGCAAGGCAGCAGGCGGGCCTCCGTGGGCAACCACAGTCCCCCCCTCCCCCACTAGTGCTAAGGTTGTCTCAGGGCCCCTTCCCACCCCGACAGCCTGTGACTTTGTGGCAGTTGGCACGGGAAGGGCAGGCAGGACTCTGCAGAAAAGAGGCTGTGCACAATGCAGAACTCAGAATCTCCAATTTGTCCTAAAGGCCCAAAGCCCAATTTGGGGGAGCTCTCCAGCCCCCCACCCCAAAAAAGAACTGTGCAGAAGTGAAAGAAGTAATGGTTTCCAGAATTACATATTTCTGTGACCCTTGTCGCCAAATTACACACATCTTAGGGGATCTGTGGAGTAACCTTAACTCTTGATGCTTCGGAGGGATGGGGCAGAGCAGCTGGAGGCCCAGTGGGCTGTGTGACAGCCTCTCAGTGCAGCTGGAGTGCCCTCTAGTGGGGAAGTGAGTAATGACCATGAGCATTGATTCACAAAATGCTTTTCTTTTTTAATAGCTATATCTCCTGAGCTGGCTATGGGCCTAACACAGTGCTGACCCCTACATGGATTATCTCCTTTAAATCTCTCAACAATCCTATGAAGTAGGGAATATTATCCCTATTTTTCAGATGAGAAGATCAAGGCCCAGGGAGGGGAGGGGATTTACCTGAGCTCCCACCACCCAGCTTCCTGGCTTCATCATGTCTCCTTTTCTTAACCCTGTCCCTCAGAGAGTACACATCAGGTTAAGGGAGCAAGGTGGACACACACACATACACACACGAAAAGGAAACTATGAAGGCTGTGGAGTTGGTGGGGCAGGGGATGCAGAGGCAGATGAGGGAACCTTGATCTGGACCTTAAAAACAGGTAGCATGAGAGAGAGAGATATTTGCAAGGGGTGATGGAGATCAGCTTGGTCTGAACCCATTGCTCTGTGGGTCACCAAGAGGCCAAGTGTGTATAGTAAACAAATTACACTCAGATTGCACTCACTTTCTGCAGGGAACTATTCTGAAGAGAACAGGAGCCCCTAAGGTAGGCTGCATTATCCCCATTTTGTAGATAGAAAAACTGAGGCCAGAGAGGCTAAATAACGTGCCCGTGGTCACAGAGAGTGAGTGGTAGAGTTCAGGTCTTTAACCTTCCACGTTATCTATGTATAGTACATGCCAACCCCTCAGAGCCATGCCTGTCACACAGTCAGAGTGCAATAAATGCCTTGGGCTGTGGTTACCAGTTTTAATCCACAGGCAGACCCAGGTCCCACCTTCAAAGAATTCTCAGCCGGGGGAGAAGAGAGGAGGAGGAAGGGTGAACCAGCCTGTTTTAAATAATAATAATAATGTTTAGACATTATAAAGTAAGAAATATTTTTGTAGAAAGGTTGGAAACCGTACATTAGAAAAAGATTACTGCTCATAAGCACCCGCCCCGCCCCTTGGATAGTCTAATATTCTTCGAGTGCTTGCTGTGTGCCAGGCATTGTGCTAACCAGGTAACATACACTGTGGTCAGAGGAGGCCCACTAAGCTGGGGTTTCATCCTGGATCTGGTGTTTGCCTTGCCTGTACTCTTTGTCAGTCCCCAGGGACCATGCATCACTGCTGGACTCCGGCAGAACCATACTTACAGAGGTCCCGCTCAGACAGCATGCAGAGAGAATGACCACCAACCCCTGGGGATAGGAGTGGGGAATCCCCTAAACTCCATGGGGGATGAACCTGCAAAAAGCCCTTGTTGCCATGCCAAGGGAAGGCTGGCTTTCCCCTGCCTTTGTCTGGGAAGGGGTGTGAGGGAACCAGTCCCTGGCTCCACTGGCTTGGGGCAGGAGGAGCTGGCAGCCCTGGCATCGGGCCCACGTGTGCTGCCACCTAGTGGCTGGAGGGATGGGTAACTAAGCCACCCCAGGAAACCCCCAGCAGGGCTGGGAGGACCATGTGGCAGTAAAGTGTGCCTCTCCTACATTCTAAGTGACATCCTCGCTGATTCAGCATGTAAGTCCACAAACACTTCTTCTGGGGGTTGCGGTCAAATACAGCCTAGTCTTGTCTGAGAGGTGTACAGGCTACCTTCCAGGTACTGATCAAGCATCCAGCACTGTGGGGATGGGAGGTGGAGAGACCCTAAACCACAGATTCCACTCTTGGGGAGCTCACAGACTGACCATGGGAATGTGTTCTTCCTCTCAGCCACCCCTAGCTCACCTGGCTGGAGGCAGTCACTACCTAATGGTCCCTCGTCCCACCAGGAACCAGGGTATCCGTATAGAACACAGACTGGTCATCCATCTCTACACTGTCCAGCCATTGCTTTCAGCCCCTTGGCCACTCCATCCTCTCATCGCTGGGCTCTCTCTGCCTCCACCATTTGTCTTAGCAGGGCCCCTTCAGCAGGCCACCTGGGGCACAGTCAGCTCAGGAAGGACCAGGGTTTTTTCCTACTTAGGCTTCATCCTCCACAACTGGGACCTAATCTGTGCTCCTCTGGACCCTGTACTTCCTCTGTTGTATTGAATCACCCTGCACCCTAATTGCCTGTTACTTGTCTTCGTGGAGCACAGTCCCCTAGGGGTAGAAGCCATGTGTGGTCATAGCTGTAGCCCTAAGCAGCTGGCACGTGACTCATCAGTACTTTCTTAGTGAAGGAAGGACTGGTCGTGGAGGATGGCTTACATAACCTTGTGAGTCTCTTGCCCTAGACCTGGAGTCTCTGAGGGCCCTGCCACACACACACACACACACACCCCCGCATCTTCCATGAGACAGAAGGTGAGCTGCTGCAGAGCCCTGGTGGGGCTTTATAGATTTCACCCCTGGGAGTGTGTGCAGCTGGGCCCAGGAGCCTGGGACAGTATCCCTTGCTCCCCACAGATTTCTGCTCAGCCATCCTGTCCCCGGGCCATCTTGGCACAGAGAATATGAAGTGGCTGATCCCACCTCTTAGTCCATCCCCACCAAACCCATGTCTACCTGGGGTGGATGCCAACTAGGCTTTAGGTGCTGGCTTTGGAGTCTGTTGGCACCAATTTGCTCAGACCCAGGCCCTAAGCCAGACCCTGGGCAGTCAGATGAATCGGACACAGGAGGGGAAGTGGGGTGGGGGAGTGGGGTGCTGGGAGTGAGGAGGGGCCAAGGTCTGTCCCAGAGCTGATGATCTAGAGGTGCCTCCTGTTCAGAGGCAGAAAAGGAGCTCAGGGCATCTGCTAATAGGTCCGGACGGCTGGGGTATGGGGTGAAGGTGGGAGGGGTCGCCCTCGCCTTTCTGTCACCAAAAATTAGTCCATGGAGGAGCACTGGGCTGGGATCCTCCTGGGGGGGCGTTGATCAGGGGCTTCTTTCCGTGCAGTGTCCTGGCTATTGACACTCCTCTGTGTCAGCAAGGGCAGCCACCGACCCATCTGTCTGTCCCTCAGACCCACAGCCAAACTTGGAAAGTTAGTCTTGGAGTTGGGCCTGGATGAGGGTCTGACTTGCCCTCCAACCTTCCACACTTGGTATCACCCGTCTGAACCTGTTTTCCTTTTATCACCTAAGGCAAGGTCATGAGCACCACTGATTTCTTAAGTGCTCTCAGGATGGTTTCTTGAGACCACACTTGTGGGTGGCTGGTGCAGGGGCGTCCAGAGGAGGTCAACGGGCGGCGAGCCCTCAGCTACTGCCTCCCTCTGTCCCACAGGCGCGGGCCCAGGCGGAGGCCCTCCGCATCAGTGATGTGCATTTCTCGGTCAAGCCGACCGCCAGCGCCTCCTCGCCCAAGCTGCATTCTAGCGCTGCCGTGCACCGGCTCAAGAAGGACATCCGCCGCTGTCACCGCATGTCCCGCCGCCCCCTGCCCCGCCCAGACCCCCAGGGGGGCAGCCCCGGCCTGCGCCCGCCCATCTCGCCCTTCTCCGAGACCGTGCGCATCATCAACCGCAAGGTCAAGCCGCGGGAGCCCAAGCGGAACCGCATCATCCTGAACCTGAAGGTGATCGACAAGGGCACGGGCGGAGGCAGTGCCGGGCAGGGTGCCGGGGCCCTTGCCCGCCCCAAAGTCCCCTCACGGAACCGCGTCATTGGCAAGAGCAAGAAGTTCAGCGAGAGCATCCTGCGCACGCAGATCCGCCACATGAAGTTTGGCGCTTTCGCGATGTACAACAAGCCCCCGCCCGGCCCTCTGCCGCCCCCGCCAGCCACCAAGGCCGACATCGCCGCCTCCCCTGGCCAGGGGCTGCTCCTGGCAGCCCCCAGTGCCCCGTACGACGCCCGCAGCTCCAGCTCCTCCGGCTGCCCTTCGCCAACCCCGCAGTCCTCCTCCGACCCGGATGACGCGCCCCCCAAGCTGCTCCCCGAGACCACGAGTCCATCTGCCCCCGACTGGCGGGAGCCCGAGGTGCTTGACCTGTCCATTCCTCCCGAGGCGGCGGCCACCAGCAAGCGGGCGGCTCCCGACGTCACTGCGGCTGCCAGCCAGGCCCTTCCCGCGGCCCCTCAGCCAGCCGGCGCCGCCTCAGAGCCCGAGGCTGGAGACTGGCGCCCTGAGATGTCACCCTGCTCCAACGTGGTCGTCACCGACGTCACCAGCAATCTCCTGACGGTCACTATCAAGGAATTCTGCAACCCTGAGGATTTCGAGAAGGTGGCTGCTGGGGTAGCAGGCGCCGCAGCGGGGGGTGGCAGCAGTGGGCAGAGCAAGTGAGGGGCCCCACCAAGGAGGGGGGTTTGGGGGGGCCCTCCTGCCCAAAGTCTTACTCTTGCTCCCGCCCCCACCCCCGCCCTCAGACAACCCTGCCTGTGCTTTGCTTGTTTCAAATGGCTCGGTGTTGACCCCGGGATGGGGCTGGGCAGTTGGAGCCCCCTGAAGCCCAGTGGGGGCGGGGGGGCGGTCCTGGGACGGGGTGGGGCTAGGGTGGGGCCAGGACACTGGGAAGTCCTCCCTCTTGTCTCTTGGCCCCCTCCCTGCCCAAGCACAGTGGGGCCTGCTGGGTGGCTCCTGGGGAGCCCCGGGACTTGGGGTTCAGCTGCCCCCTCCACATCCCATCTCTCCCCAGCTTGCTTCCAGCTCTCGCGCACAGCATCTGATTTCTCGGTGCTAACCCGGCAGCTGCTGGGGCCCCTTAGGGGACCCCCTTCCCAGCATGGGCACCGTCCCTTTCCTTCCTCCAGATGCCTGGGAAGGAGGGGCAGGGATGGGAAAGCCCGGACAGAGGTTGAGGTGAAGGCGGCCTTGGCCCCTCCCCCCCACACCCACGAGGGCGGCAGGAGCAGGGCCCACTTTCGGACGAGACCCAAGCAGGCCCCCGTGGGCCTCACCCACCCATCTCTTTCCTCATCCCGCTCTCAGAGGCGGGAGGGACTGGCACGGACCTCACCTGCCACGGCCTCCCAGCATCTAAAGGCCCCTCAGTTCTCGACCAAAGGTGCTACAAGAGCCTGCTGCGCGGACTTCCTTTTGCGCATGCGCTTGCCGTCCTGGGCGGGTCTGCGTGGATCCGTGTGTGTGTTGGCCCCAGGGCCCGGCTCTCGAGGCTGCGCCCTTTAGGGTTCCTCACAGTAAGGTCGTCAGATCGAAGGCCTAGAACCCTCCCTTGCCATCAGCCGGGCCTGGGACCTGGCCCAGGTCTGAGGAGTTTGCTGTGGAGGCCGATCCTCCCAGCCCGCGTGTGCGGGGGGCACGCACCCCACGCCCTCCTCCTTTGGGGCGGTCAGACGTGGCATGGTGGGGACCGAGGCAGAGGGGAGACCCCCGTCCCAAGCTTCCTCTTCCTCCTGGGTGTTCCGGGGGAGTAGGAAGCCTGGACACCATTCCGAGGGTCTCCGGCCCCCTCTCTCTTGCTTCTGACCGCCCAGGCTTTCTCACAGCCCAGCCTGCCTGAAGCAGCGGGAGGCCTCTGGTGCCCTGGGCAGCTTCTCTTTCCTCTGCTGCCAGGGAGCTGAGGTGTCCATGCCAGTGGCAGAGACCAAAACCCCAGTTTTAGGCTGGGCACTGGGAGGGCAGGGTGGCCGAAGCGGGAGGGACAGAAGAGGGGGCCTGTGTCCTTCAGGAGAGCGGGCACGTGGAGGACCAGGGGTCTGGTGGGCAGGAGAGACAGCCCTGCTGGCCAGCCCTGAGGCGCTGCCCGGACTCAGTTTGCCATGAGTGGCAGGTCCTTGCATGTGGCTCAGGGTGGCTTCCTGGTGTGTGGGCTGAGAGCCATGATGGCAGAAAGGGAATTCCAGTTCGGAAACAAACGCCTTGGTCCTAAGCACGGGAGGACTGTTTCTTCCGAATCTCCCCGCCAGGGATTGTGGCAGGGCCCCTAACCCTCCTAGTCCCAGGATGTAGAACGGGGGCCATCACAGGGTTTGGGGGACTGGTGCTCCTGGACCCCTCCCCCCCTGCCCTTTGTGTTGGCTCTGTGGCCGTCCAAGTGCCAATTGGCTTCCCCCCAAATAAGGGCTGGTATTTCTCCTCTGTCCTTAGAGGGGATTTCCCCCCCGACCCCCACCCCAGGTGAGTGTCCACCTGGGTGCCAGTTACAGGTGTTTCCAGAGACCATAGAAATGTGTTTTCCTGAGAGTCCGTGTCATTCGTGACTTTTTTTGTAAAGAAGTTGTGTTTTCAGAGGTGATTTTATGACAGGAAAGTGAAAGAATTAGTTTTGCAAAAAACAGAAAAAAAAAAACACAAAAAAAGAGGGGAAAAAAAAGAAATAGAAAAAATATTGTGGGATTCCTATGGGGTTTGGGGGGGTGGGGAGAAAGAGATATTTAAAGAAAAACTAGTAACGCAGTGATTGCACAGGTGAGGCGGCAATGTTAGGAACGTGGATAGAGGCCCAGGCCCAGGCACGGCAACTGCCCTCCTTCCTTGGCCCGAGGCAAGGTAAGCCCTCCCTCCTGCGCTGGGCCCAGACTCCACACCTGTCCCCCGCTTGAGGGGAAGGGTGACCCCTGATCCCAAGGGAACTTGCCAGAAGCTGCAGGGGCCAGGCAAATAGAGCTGAGATTAGGGGAGGTAAGAGTCAACAGGGGTCCCACCATCACTGGGACCCATCGTTGGTGACTTTCTCCAGGAAGGCTGGTGAGTAGGTACAGTTGGGTTCTTTGCCTTCCTCCATTCCTTTGCCAGCCTGTTGGGCCATATGGTCCCTCCACCGCCACCCCGTGGGGGAATCTCCCTCCCCATCGCCCCAGTGACCAAGACACCCCCGAGCTTCCCTGGCCAGGTAGGGGATGCAAGCTTCAGGAAGACAGGAGCTATGGACTCTGAGAGAGTATTAGGTGGTGATCAGAGGGGGTTGGGGGTAGCCGTAGGGAGAGGGAGTGCCTGCCCCTTCTCTTTTCACAGGGAGGGTGCTGCCCTTGACCCCTAGCTGTGCAGCCCTGCCCCAGCCCATGCAGAGGCACGCGTGCACACCACTCCCAGGCGAGCAGCTCCCCTGAGGGCCTGAGTGGGCACCTGATCAAGAGCAAGCGGAGCCCTCCTTACCTCTCTCCCAGGGTGGCTCTGAGCGGGGTCCCACAGCCCCCCAGCACACGCTTGCACGGATCAGCCTCCCATGGGCCCTTCCTCCCCCATTGCTGCTTTTCCGTTTGCCTATTACCAAGCAGAAGTTGCAGTCTGGTTTGCTTTATTTTTATATGTGAAATACCCCTCAAAGCCGGATCTTCTCCCATGTTCAGTAGTGGCTGGGGTCATCTCCCCCTGATGCCACCCTCTCCCCACCCCCATGTCATAGGAAACAGATGAGGTTTGGTGTCTCCGGTTTGAGGTGGGAAGTTGGGACCCATTCCTGTCTCATTCCCCTCCCGGATCCTCAGTTTGCCCTTCTGTGAAATGGGTGTATTGGGCGACACACCTTTTTCATAAAGCACTGCTGGTGTCCAGGCAGCTGCTGAAGATTAGGTGGTGGTCGAGGTTGCTGCCACTGGGGCCTCCAGCCTCCCACAGTCCCATTTCATTCTCACCCTGCAAAGCCGTCAGGGTCAAAATGGGCTTCAGCCTTCCTCTGCTCTGGAAAGAGGTGATGATCAAGTCCCCAACCTCAGTGTGAGGCAGGCAGAGTGGGAGGGGTCACCCCACTTACAAGACCAGGAAACTGGGGCTCTGAGAGGCAAAGCTGCTTCACTGGAGCAAAGAGCCCAGCTGCTCTGGCCTTTTGGGGGAAGCCTCTTTAAAAGGTGGGGACCTGGGCCTTGGAGCCACTGCAAAGCCAGGGGGTACCCCTGAGCCAGGCAGTCCCGGGTGAGGAGTCAGCCCAGAGGAGGAAACCGTTAGCTCGGGGAGCTGGGCTGCCACCAGCCTTTCTAGCCTCTGGGTGGACCCAAGTGGACGCACCGCCTTTTCTGCCTTTGGGGGTTTTGTTGGTTGTTTTTGGTTTGGGTTTTTTTGGGGTTTTTTTGCACTTGGCCCACGCTGGACAGTGGAACCCGCCTGGTCACTTCCACTTCCAGGCTCCCATGCACTAGCCCAAGGCAGCCTCTTGAGGGCTTGTATGGTTTAAGGAATCACTTTTGAAAAAAGAAAGAAAGAAAAGTGTTTAAAGGTTTTCGTTTTGTCTCTGTCTGCATCTCCTCTCAGATTCAGAAAGCCCAGAATTAGGGGCTAAAACTCTAGGAGAGGGGGTGTCCCCAGCCTGACCCTGTCTTGCTGATAGTCACCAAGACTCCAAAATAGGGGGGACAGGCTGGGTGGAGACAGGCACCCACTTCCCAGGCCTGTGGGGTCCCCCCATCCCGCCTTGAAGGAGTCAGCACCCCACTCCAACAGTGACTGAGCGCCTACTGTATGCAGAGCTCTGGCTAGGCAGAGGGGGGCTGGTGGTCTAACGAGGGACCCCCTTGCAAGAGGCCACAGTAGAAGGAACCAAGGGTTCTGGGTCTTCCCCCTGCTGTAGGGTGGAGTAGAGATGGAGACTTCTTGTTGTTGGTTTTAATTTAAAAACACAAAGGCCTAAAGAAATGTATCTTATAATTTTTTTTAATTTTTGAAAAGCTCATTTAATGAATTGTGCACGAATGAATTCTATATATATAAAATATACATATATAGCTCTATATTTGGGGAGGGGCACTGTCTCTTTTTTCTCTCTCTCATTTTAAAAATGAAGTGTCGTTGCCTTCGCCTGTGGCTCAACCATCCAGCTCCCAGCTGGCTAAACTTTGCCTCCAGTGGTTCAAGACAGGAAACTAGTAGGGTGAGCAGGAGACCGGAGATGGGGACGCCGCCTCAGCGTGGGGCTGGGTCCCCAGGCCACAGGCCCCTCTCCCAAAAGTTGCAGGTGGAGAAGACGCCTTGTGTTGGGTGTGGCTTTTCGTTCTGTTGTGCCGGGTTCGGTTGTTTCTGGGCCGGGGGAGGGGCGTCTGTGCTGATTACTCTGTCTTGTATGTTTTGTTCTGCTGCTCTTCAATATCGTATCAATGCCAGGAAGGGGGCACGAAAAGCCTCTTTTGCCCCCCCCAAATAAATTGTCACATTCCGAAGCTGAGGTCTAGCCCCGGGTCTGTCTCATTTCTTCCGGCTGGGACTGTGGTCTTTAGGAAGCTCAGGCCATGCCTCTCCTGGTGCGGGTGCAGTGAGGAGAGGGGGCCCCTGGCCCTCAGCGGTGGCAGGCCAGCTCTCCGGCCCGATTCCAAGCTCTCCGCCTCCCACCCCATGTCCACCTCGTGAGGGAGATGAGCTTGAGGGGAGTCCCCCTACACAGGTAAGCTGCGGCGCGTGCCGCTTCTTGGAACCCGGAGACTACCTGGTCAGCGGGCACGTGGGAGGGGTGGGGCTCCCGCCACTGTCCGCCCCCCAGTTGGAGTCACAGCACCCGCAGAGAGGGGGCCCCGGGAACTGGATCCCTAGCCAGGCGGTCATCACAGGGCCTGGGAAGGAGCAGGCCAGGGTTGGGGACACGGACTACCCTTGTCGGTAGTAGCCCTTGCTAACAAGCTGCTTTAGCTCAGAGAAACATCTGTTTTCTGGGCGCTTGTGTGCCTCCTCTGATGAGACGATCAGCCCTGGGGAGCCCGTTGGACGCCCACAGGGATCCAAAAGCAGCAGACCCCGCAAATTCCCATGCCCTCCTCAGGGGTTTGCCACTCCGCCCATATCTGTGAGCGGCACCTCCATCCCTCCACGGCCACCCGTTTGCCAGGCCTGGAACAGGTGTCGCCTTCCAACCCTCCCCTTCCCCACCACCCTCACCCCCTTGTTGTGAAAACCCCAAGGCTCGCCTCTCAAAGGTCTCCCCACCCTGCACCCCCATCTCACCTGTCCTGACCCCGGCTCCTTTGGCAAAACCTCCCTGATCTGCCGCACTCACCCTGCATCTCCCCCCACTCTTCCACATGATGCAGATGCTGCAGGGGCCTGGCAGCCCTGCAGAGAGCCTTCAGGAAGCCCACTGCCCTCAGGATCGAGTCTAAAGTCCTCCCCACCACTCTATCTGGGGAGAGCTCCCTGCCTGAGCCCCCTCTCTGTGCCCCGTCTCACTACACAAGAGTCGCAGCTCAGTGCCTGGCACGTGGACCCTTGATTCATCTTTTTCTGTCACCAAGCTCCGTTCTTCCTTACTAATGCGGTCAGTGAGGCTTGGGAGCGGCCCAGCGGTAGACATGGGGCACCAATGTGACTCATCCAGCTGGCCCTGGTCAAAGAAGAGCATGTCTCTGTCCGAGACTGGTCTCCGTGCAGAAGCTGGGCAGGGAGATGGGAAGATGGGTGAGGGGGGTGGGACCCAGTGTGGAGTCAGGGCTGACCTCCTCCGTGGCACCTACTCCACGTGCACCCCTACCTTGCTTCCACCTTGTCGTCTTGCCTGGCTCAGTGCTCTGTTCTCCAGAAATCCTCATTGGTAGGTACTTAGTTAAACAACAACAACACTGGTGAGCACTCTCCCATCCCCACCTCACACCCCTCCCACCCTGCCCGGTGACCAGTGCGGCCTCGAGTGATGAGCCAGTGTCACAGAGGAGGGCCGGGGGTTGAAGAAATTCCTTTGCCCCAAGTGGCACAGTGGAGGGGGACTTCCCTCCAGCACATGTCTTTGCTCCCCGCCCCTGCCCAGCTCTCTGGGATTGAGAACACAGGGGCTGCCCTTGGGAGGCAGGTGCGTTCAGGGATTAGTGTCACGACTGTCCCTTATCACGAGTCCTGCTGCCATCTCTTAGCAGCTATGTCTGCCTATTAGTTGCAGATGAATGAGTGTGACTATGGCAGCTCCTTAAGGTGGATGGGAGGGTTCGTGACGAGGACGGGGCAAGACCACGCAACTTGGCTCAGGGAGCCCGACGTGCCCCGTCTGAGGTCAGTGAGGGCGCTGTACATGCGGTGCTGGCATCGTGGGGCTTGTCTGCCAGGCAGTGCCTGACCAATCCCCCACCCACGTCCCTCGCCCTATTCCTGGGCGTCACCAGGAGTGCGGGTCAGCCATGGGGTGAAGCTCAGGATTTGGGGCAAGGTGTAGAGAGTAGGGGTTGAGACGGTATGAGAATGACAATTTTGCAAAATTATTCAGTCGTTTCATAGAAGCTGAAAGTGTAATGGTTTTTCTGTCCTTGTTAAGCTGTACCTGAAGTGAAGGGGGTGGGTCAGAGTGGCAGCATCTAAATGCCGAGCCCCCCTCAACCAGATCCCAAGCCTGTGTGCCCATCTGCACCCTCCTTGTTCAGGCTGCTGGCTTCTGAGTGTTCACACTTCACAAAGGCCTCTGGCTGGGAGAGGCCCCACAAGGATAGCTCACCCAGAGGGTGGGGCCTGGAAGGGAGCAGCGGGTGAGCAGGAGTCCTGGCCTCCAGACATCTGAGCCTCTGAGTCAGAGGAGGGACAAAGGCCGGGACTTGAAATCACCTCATGAGCTATGATGAGACCTGGACGTGGCCGAGGCAGTGGGGTTGACAGGAAGTGGCCAGAGAGATTTAGAATATTGAGGATTTGGTGATTGGCTTTGAGTGCTGTGAGAGGGGGCCCTCTGAAAACCTCCTGGGTATCTGGTGTAGGCATATGAGTGGGTGTTGGCATCACAGGCTGGGGGACCGGCAGAGGAATCAGCCTGGGTGAAGCTGAGTGCAGTTTGGGACACCTTGGGTGCGAATCCGACAGAGGGGCCAGGAGGAATTTTCATCCAGAGATTTGAGACTCCTGCCCTCCCAGGTGCTGCTGGAGAAATCTGTCCCTTTGCTGAAGAGTCTTTGCCCCCAGATGCACTTCAGCTCTGAGATGAGTGGTCACCAGACATCCTGGAAGGACCAGGATGAGGACTTAGGTGCTTAGCTGCTGAGGCCACTGGGAGATCCAGGCCCTGCCTGCCGCCCCTACCCTCCCAATTTCATGCCTTTCATCTGGGTGAGGTTGTGAGGCAGGTGGCTGGGGCGATGATGAACCCCATCAGACAGGTGAGGAGGAGGGGCAGGGGGGCTTGCCAGGGCCACTCAGAAGCAGAAGAGTGGAACCCAGGTCTTGGGCGTGATGGATAGAAGCTTCTGAAGAGCCGGCTGCTCAACACAATACTTAGAGATACTAAAGAAAATAGAACATTCTTTTAAACACCCAACTGAGCTTCCAAGAGAGTAAAGAAATCCCTGGGGACCAAAAACAAACAAAGAGGAAGCCAAAATCGGGGTGACAAGCAGATGCCGATCCTTAGGCTGCCCCGCAGGATGGGTGGCACAGGGACAGGGGTGGGGAGGTGTTGGCCTTTGCCGATCTTGGTAACCAAGAAGCTTGGATTTTACATCTATGTAGGGATGGGAGCCAAGGCCTCGGGCCCCTTCCAAGAGAGATTTGGAACTAAGACACCTGAGTAAAGCTGGACCCGTATCCTCAGTGAAAGACCAAGTGGGGAAAAAACAAAAACGAAAAAAAACATCCTTTTGCAAAAAGCAGAAGGAGTTGTCAAAGAAGTTGGCTCATTTTTGGCTCTGTGGGAAAAATTAAAATGAGTCTCTCTTGAGAAATTATAACTCTAGACCTTCCCTCAGACAAAATTTGAGGTTTGGATTTGCATTGCCCACACAGTCCCAGAACTCCTAAGTCTGGAAATTAATATAAAAAGCAAATGTGGAGTGAGTTACACCCACAGAGCATATCCCTCTCTGGAGGGACATTCCCATAGTAAAGGCCACGTGGGATACTCACAGATAAAACCGTTGTTAACATGAGCTCGCAATCCCAAATTACAAAACAAATTACAAAGAAGCAAGCCACAAACAGCAGAACAACAAACAGCATATATAGAATCCTGCATCTGACATGTTATTTTCAAACACACATTGAAGATTTCCAAAAATGTCCATGAATATCATGTAGTAGGACATAAAGCAAGTCCCAATAAATTTCAAGAAGTTGGTATCACAGATCATGTAGAAGTTAAAAACCAACAGCAAAATTATAACTAAAAGACAAAACCTCGTGTACTTGGACGGTAACCCAGATCTCTCATTCACCTACATCTTGCTCCTTCCCCAGACGTCTGAAATCTCTTTAGAACAATGAGATTCCAGGATGGATGTAAAACTGCTAGTAGAAGGCAGTCGCACCGGAGGAGCACAGCCAGTGTGAGTTGAAACTGGGTGGGAACAGGTCCCTCCCTGGTCTCTAGACGGGATGTGATCATTAGAGCAAAAGACCAAATTCTTCTCTGTCTCTTCCAAAAATGAGCTCAGTGTGTGACAAAGACATGAGCCTGCATTTAAATGACAGCCATCAGCCTTTATGAGCCAGAGGGTCTGGGAAACATTTATGCAGAGCCAAGGTGGGCTAATGGAAATGGGACAGAGCAGGTGGCAGGGGTTCTCAGTGCTGTGTCATAATGCCGAGGCCCCATGCCGACGAGCAATATGCTCTTTTGGGGTGGACTCGGAGGTCCCTAGGGGTTCTCTGTTAAGGCTCTGATACTCCCATCTGCAAGCCAGGAAATAGGACACACTTTGGAAGAGGCACACGTGGACTCTGTCCCCACAGGGACTCATTAGAGTGATTGTCATCTCACTGGCTCCCTAGGCAGTCCTTGCAGGCACTCACAGCTCGGTTTCCAGGCAGTAGCGTCCTGATGGAGTCTTGCTGCCCTCCCCATCCCTGGCCCCCTCCCTTGCTCATCGCCTGCCTGCCTTTCACAACTCAGGCACTGTGAAGAGACCCTTGTCCAGGTTCAGGTGGCCAGGACACTCCCCTCTCAAGGCCTCGGTGTTCCTCAGCATTAAAAGAGGCCAGGACTCCCTGCTTGGCACGGTTACTTGGGAGGACTGAACGTGATGGGTCAGAAAGGGTTTTGTTCAAGCACCACATGGGTAAGAAGGGCCATCTTCCTGATCCATGTAGCCAGAGTCAACCACTCCTCTGACTTCCCGTCCCGGAGTTCTAGCCTTCTGCTCACCAATTCTGGATGCCCTCCTCCCATGTAACGGCTTGACGATGGTAGGAAAACAGTGGACAAGTCTGAGCTCTGTCAGCTGTGTGATCTCAGGCTGGTCAATCACCGTCTCTGGGCCTCTGTAACCTCTTCTGTAAAATGGAGGAGAGGGCTTCCCCCAATTGTCTTTCATCTCAGAGTGACTCTAGGATAACTAATGCATACAGGGTGGACTTCGCAAGGACTGACTCATTAAATCCTCACAATCCAGACAGCACAGTACCCACAACATATAGACGAGGGAACTGAACTCAGAAGGGCAAAATAACTTGCTCAAAAATCCCTACGTGGTAGAGGTGGGGTTTGAACCCACGCAGTCATACTCACCCACCATGCTAGCATCCTCCCTGTGTAGCCTAGTAGGTGAGGGCCCAATCACTGGAGCTGGACTGCCTGCCTGAGTGGGACCCTGGGCATATTGCTCATCTCTTCTGTGCCTCCGTTTCCCCATCTATAAAATGGGGGGGGGGGAGTAATAACTCCCTTCTTCGTGAGATTGCAGGGAACTCTGCTGAGGACTCCACGGGCCAGGCTCTGAGCTGCCCACTGGAGTTTCATTCCGGCCTTAACCCTCCCATGGTACAGCCAAGGAGACTGGAGAGACAAGTTGGGTCACTTGCTCCAGGCGGTGCTAACCTGTGGAGCTGGGACTGAAATCCAAAAGCCCCGACTTCAACGTCCGTGCCTTCAACCACTCTGCTGCATCTCCATGTGATGCCCTCAAACTCTACGCTCAAAACCAAACTCTGGACTGCAGATTGGCACTCCCCACAGCTGCCTGACTCACCACCCTCCCTGACAGGGGCCTGAACCCTGCATCTTGTCTTTGACTCAGCCCTTCCCAGCTAGTCCCCAGCATCGTGACTCATTGACCCCAGAATGGAAAAGCCACTCCAATCCCTCCCTTCTTCCTCAGCCCTGCTGCCCGCTCCAGTCCAGACCCCAAAGCTAGGGACAATGGATACCAAGTACCCCCCTTCCAAAGGGTAGCCTTGCAGAGGAGCTGGACAAAAATCCTCCTGGCCCCTCAGCCCTCCCAGGCGGTGGGACTAAGAAGCCATGTGGGAGGTGGGGTTGGAGAGGGAACTGTCTTTAGAGACAGTTGGCATCACTCCCCAACCTCAAGCCAAGTGAGGGAGCTTCAGAGAGCACGGGAGCATGGCATGTGTCCGCTGGGATTTGGGAGGTGAGGCGACTAGGGACAAAGGTGAGAGGCTGGCTTGAGTCCCGTGTTTCCACAAGGCAGACAGGGACTGAGCTGCTTTGGGGACAGTCTGCACTCCCAGCATTTGGGGGCCAGGATGCAAGAATGTTTCCTGGGGTCCCAGGGGGAACCTTGGAGAAGGTGGCTGGTTTGAGGTCATTTTGAATTAGGATCCAGCCCCAAGAGGGTTGGGGTGGGGAGGAATAATAAGGAAGGTGCACGTGATCCTATCAGAAGACTTCGTGTTGGGTGGACCCCCAGTGACGGGTGCTGAAGGGGTGTTGTGAGTGCCAGCCAGGGGATGCTTTGCCCAGGTAGGAACTGCAGGTGGGACACCGCTAGTGATGCAGGCTCTTTGAGGAACCCACAAAAATTGCCCCTAAGGAGAAAGAGCCAGGCCCCAGGCACTCACCTAACCCACCTGAGAACATAGACTCTCCTGAGGACACCTGAGCCGGCCAAGCCAGACTTACCTTGTTACCTCTCCCTCCTCCCTGCTTCAAGCTCCAGCCCTGGAGAAACCAGAAGCAACTAGTGGGGGAAAGGGCAAGGGGAGAGCAGACCAAACTGGGGTCTTAGAGGAAAAGCCCACCGTGCCTCCTCCTGCTATATAGGTCTTTGAACTTAAGGCAGACTTGAGCTGGGGGAGAGGAGCTTTGACTAGAGCTTAGAGCTTTGCTATTAGACCCGACTATTTTAATAGCTAAAAAATAAGATAAAGCCCAAAAGTGACTGAACAAGCTCTGAGATATGCCTAGGATCTCATCCAGAGGTAGGGAAGTTTGGGTCAACAGAACAGGTTAACAAGGCAGCCACTGAGAAAGGGTAAAATTCTTTCTGCCTGCTGCCCGCCAAGCACAGCTCATCCTGTGTCTCCCTTCACTGCCTCAGCCTCCTAACAGGCCCCTTTACTTTCTTCTCCTGTTCCAACTGACCCTTGAACCCCTCCTAGTCTACCGGGCTGAGGCCTGCCAGAACCACCTTCCCTGCACTGTGCTTTCATCCACAGAGACAGTCTATCCTAGTGGTCATGAGCTTGGATGTCTCTCTTTGGATCCCAGCTCCTTGACTTGGCAGCTGAGTCACCTGAAACAAGTTGCTTAACCTCTCTGTGCTTCAGCATCACTATCTGCAGCATGTGGATCGTGATAGCAGCATGTCTATTCCACCACGGTTTTGTGAGTCTTTAAATGATTACATATAAAGCCCTTAGGAGCATAGTAAGAAGCATTTCAGTGTTAGTGATCATCATTATTCTCAAATGCTTCCTTCTTGCTGTGTAATCTTGGGAAAGTCCCTTTCCTTCCCTGCTTCTCAGTTTCTGTATCTGAAAAATAAATTGTGTGTGGGTACAATTTGCTTGTGGCTACAGCTAATGCTGGTGGCAGACAAACTTCAGTGAGGAGAGAGACCCAAGCCTGGACCCACCCCACGGTGGACCGAGAAGAGAGCTGGCAGGCTTGGCAGGCAGGAGTAGGGAGGGGTCCAGCCAGCAGGACTGCCCACTCTACCCTGGTCTCATGCCTTCTGCCTTCTTCTAGCCTCTAGGAGGGTCTCCCCAACCTGCCCCCACCTTCCCCTAGGGACCACCTTGGGCACCCAGTGCTAGATCAGGAAACAGATGGTATTTGAGGAGTAGCTGCCAGGCACCCCTGGTTCCTCACTGGACACACGTGATCAGCCATCCAGGTGAGGCCCCAGGTACCCGCCCCCTTAGCCTCTAGCCCCATCACACACCTCTGCCTGAGCCTGCAGTGTCCATCTGCCCCTGATCCCCCTTC